TGAAACATTAATCCGAAGAAAGGGAGGCTCCCAGCACAGTCTAATATAGTAACCACTCATCCACTATGCATTTAAAATGTAGTTAATAGGAATTGAAATGAGCTGGAAGTGTAAGATACATATCAAATTTCAGAATTTAGCATCAAAAAGGATTGTAATGCATCTCATGAGGATTTTGTGGTTGTTTGTTTTTTTTGCAGTGTTGGGGATGAAACCCAGGATCTACCACTAAGCTATATTCCCAACCCTTATTAATAATGTTTTTGTGGATCACATGCTGAAATGGTAATACTTTGGACTTATTGGGTTAAAGAAAATATTTTATTAGAATTAACTTAAGGGCTGGGGATGTGGCACAAGCGGTAGCACGTTCGCCTGCCATGCGTGTGGCCCGGGTTCAATCCTCAGCACCACATACAAACAAAGATGTTGTGTCCACTGAAAACTAAAAAAAAAAAATTAAAATTCTCTCTATCTTAAAAACAAAAAAAAAGATGTACGAGTGCAACGTAATGTAGCATATTTTTAGTTTGTCAGCTAACAGTTAAGGGAAGAAAACCTAGATATCTTCATACCCAGAAGAGCCCATGAAAGCCCAGAGCTCCATAGGGGCTGAGGGCCTGGAGATTGACTCAGCACCCTCTGGTGTCCAGCGACTGCACAGGCAGGAAAGGAAAGATCAATGTGTGTCCCCAGCCACAGGGGTGCCGGCCCCCTGGGTACCCCCTCACAGTGGGGCATTGGAGGCAGGATGAGGTTTTCCTTCAGGACTGTGGTGCACACTGCAGGTCATGGCTTGGCCCTGGCCCTCCCCCCGTCAGGATGCCAAAACCTGAGACCCTCCCCGTTCCCCAGCTGCCCCTAGGAGACAGGCAGCTTCCCATGGAACCACGTAGTCTGGAGACCAGGACCACGTCTTAGAATAGACACCTGGAGGGAGGTTCTGAGGACTGGGTTGTTTCACCCAGATGTTAAGATTTGACCTTCAGCCCACCCCCCACACAGGGCTTCCAGTTGCTCAGTTTACTAAGATAAGGATTTTCCTCTTAAAGATAGACCTTCTCTTGTTTACCACCCTCGTTGTTCTGGTATATTTAAAAAAATCAAAGTGTTTTACGTTTTTTTTTTTTAAAAAGTAGAGGAGAAGTCACCTCTGGTCAGCCAGTGTCGGTTGGATTCCGCGGCCTTCTCTGAGCACAGGCCTTCCTCCATGCCCGAGGCTCATGTCCGCTCCCTGTGGGACTTCAGGACTGGCCATCTGTGCCGCGTAAGGTGACCGCCCTTTGCAGCTGGCTGCTGCCTGAGTTTGTTACCACCAGAGGGTCCACTCCACAGCAGCATCTGCCTTGCTGACCACAGCACCCTGAGGAGTGCCAGGCCCCGGGAGTGACAGAGGGCAGAGTGGCACCCGCTCCCTGCCTGCTGGCCTGCCCTCCACGTCCTTCCACTCAGGTGCCACTCCTGAGGAACTGGCCGCCATGCTGGTGACATGGGCAGTGCCATCCTCGGCCCCCGCTCTGGGACTTGGCCGGCTGCCTCCTCTTAGGCTGTTTCTGACCCTAACAGAGAGAGGTGCCCAGGTACCCTCCTGAGGACGCGGGAGATGCAGCCTGCTGGCCACCAACAGCCCCGCGTGGTGGGAACACCTGTCTAACTGGTGGCTGCTGCCCAGGGTGACCAAGACAGTCATGGCATGACTGTCCCCAGCATCTCTCGGCTGGTCACAGGTGGTGTCAGGTGGGCCCTGGGGGCATACGGGCTCTAGAGCATGAACAATGGCTTCTTGGCACCTGTGTC